ATGATTAAAGAACTATTTTAAATGATTATCTGTATTTTTATAGATATCTCATATCTTTGTTATTGTTACTGAGAGTAATTTATTTTGAGAGCGATAAAATTATGATGCATGAGAATGTTTAGACTAGATTATCAGTCACAAGAGATCGAGATGTTAGTCTTGTACATATGTATGTACTTTACACTTAAATAATGTATATGTACATGCGTATTTTAATTCAACAAACTTAATTTAATAACAAAAATCGTATTTTATATGATATCAAATTCTAGAATGATTTCTGACTACTTTCGAAATAAATACGGGTCAGACATATGCGCATCGGACGCATGCGTATTAAATCTGGCGCGAATGTGATATTTAAAAATCGCGAATAGAATAATCCGATTCTAAGAAATTTAATTTGCTCGTAAGGTACAATTGATATATTTAAAAAATATTTCACCTACAATTTTTGTCGTAAACCAAGGGAAAACAAATTCAAGAGTTTAAAATTCAAATAGTCATTCTTTTCATTACTGTATTACTTTTTTACGTAGAAGCATTCGATGTATGCAAAAAAAACATTTTTATTTAAAAAAAATGATGCAAAATGCGCAAGCGTTGTGAAAAAAGTATGATCGTCAATATGTAGACCTCTCGTCTTCTTTCTCTAACATTTGTTTCTAACTTCTAACTTCTATTTCGTTTACTATTAAAAAAAAGATCGTTTTGTTATAACGTCCCGTGTATGACATTATTTAATATTTTACCGACCGGTAAAAGCCTATCAATCGGCTATTATTTACCGGTCGGTAAAGTGTTGAGATATCGACCTTGACAGTGTATTTAAGGATCATTGCAATCTAGGTAATTTCCTTAAATAATTACCGAAAAATAACAACTTACCCGCCGCGAAAGGTTCGTGTCCACTTCCGCCGCCACATATTAAAGATACCTTATGCTTCCTGTCTTCAAGCTGAAACAACACGACCATTTATTAACAAATCATAATACATACATTTCATAATTTTGATCGACATTCAATGTTTAAGGTTATGTATACGTACGTTGGGCATAAGAACGACTTTGTGCGACACTTGATATTCCAACTGAGGAAACGTGAACGATAAACCAAAGAGAGATTCCGTAACGGCATTTTTAACATCGTTCACCAAACTTTTCATTGTTCTGAATGTAATTCTCCTGGGATACGCATCGAAGTAATTGCGATTCACTAGTGGATTGCCTGCCGTACTGCGAACGAAAATTTAATCTCATTAAAGATTAATCCTCGACCGGAGGTCACTGAGTTATCGCGCATTTCGACATCGTAATAAAAAGGCCAATAACAATGTACGTGTGCTACGAACGTCAAACTGGTTACGCGGTTAGGTAACAGTAAGAGTTCCCTTACATTTTGCATACAGTGAAACTGCACTGGTAACAGCATCTAACATTCAATGATAGACGAGTGCCACTCATCGCCGCTTGCGGCGGCTTATTTTAATTTTCGCTTATATTTATATGTACATCTGCTCGCGCGATTACCTGCGTGATAATATACATTTGTGAAGTTAGTTACGAATTTCCTTCATTCTGATTACATCTTGACTCTTAATAACTTCAAATCTGCAAGTAGATGCTATTGCAAGTTTCTATACATTTATAGAAGAAGTCAAAAGGATGAACATTTTCTTAAAAATGTCGCAAAAATATACAGAACAGTTCATTAGTAAGTTATAAAATGTAGTAAGTTATATATAATATAATAATGTAAGTTATAAAATAACTGTAAACTCCTTTAATAAAATAGCAATCACTGTGCAGCAATGTTTAATAAAGTATATTATTAATACTAGCAATTTAGTTTCTAACTTGTGAAATTTTCTACAAATTTTTCAACAAAAAAATTCTAGAATTTTTATATCTCTATAAATTCTAGAACTTATATTATGCCTCTAGCTGATAACAAAATATAATATTACAATCAATATGTTCTATTCAATAATAGAATTTAATCAGTATGAAATGTGAAAATTATCAGACAAGAACAAATTGTAAGAAAATTAACAATAGTTCATCCGAAATATGTTGTAAATTATATTATAAATGGAATGTAAGTGGAAAATCAGTTTTAGAATGATGGTTCTGTGAAACCTTCTAGTTGTATTAATTTTCAATTTTATTATATGTTTAAATAATAAAATTTTTGAACAAAAATAGGTACATCTTTAATATAAATATAGATATCTTTTTGTTACAATTGTAATGTTGAATGTCAGTACAATATTTAATTTGGTTGCGTATTCAGTATAATACTTAATTAGATTCTGCATTTATTGTAAGTAATGTGTCTAGGTGGATTTTATTTCTTTTTCTTAAAAGACATTTATTTAATCAATTTATTTAATTTGTTTAATTTAGATTCAACTTAAAGTAGTCAAAGTACAATTTTCTTAACTCCAAGTAATGATTTTATTGTATTTAGTTCATGCGAATAAGATTTTATTGCCTTGAAATTAAATAATTTTAACTTTCTATTGTACATTAATTGCATTGTGTATTTAAATTTTTCAGTAGATTATGAATTGTACATTTATATGAAAAAGGAAGAACAATTAAAAATAGGAGTGTACGTAATATAATATTAAAGGAAGCTATCTAAATATCTCTTCCATTTTTTATATGATATTTATATAATTAGATAGCATTTCTTTAACATTGTAAAGCAATAGAACAGAGCATTTCATATTCATAAACTAATAGGAATGTTTGGAGTTAATAAAATTTTTGAGTAATAAATCAACCATTTTTCTCGTATAAAAAATAAAAATGAAAATTAGAAAAATTGTGTAGAAAATTTAAAATTGTTATAGACATTATCGGCCCATTATCAGTTGTGGTTTCAATTCTTTCATTCCGACTTTGTTTCAATATTATAATTATTATTTTTTGATTCTGTATACCGATTATGGTTATGAATTATAAATATGGTTATGAATTATAATACGTTTTTTCTTATATCGATCTTATTTTGGTTCTTATTAATAATCTTATTGACTTTGCGAAAACATCAGTTTTTAAGATCAATTTTAAATACAAACTTCTAACATATAATATATAATATTAGAGTTTTAATAATTTGGTCAAAGTCAAGTCGAAAATGCATTGAAATCGTTATACAAACGAGATTGTTATATATATATATTTTTTTTTCTTTTTCTGCACAGTAAATCATTAGCATAAAGAAATTCGCAATCTAAACTTGACTCTAACATAAACCATAATCAAAATACAGAACTGAAAAATAACAGTTATAGAATCGATATGATATAACAGTGACAAAACCGTAATCGATGTAAGTAGGTCAAAAACCTATATATATTTGTAATAAGTTAGCAATAGTTACTAATAGTAACTTTTAACTATTACATTTCTTCGGTTCAACATTTTTCAATCACAACCGATTTTCATTCCTGATACAATTCCAAGGCTGGAGATGATTCGATGGGTTCGATCACAGTGGGTTAATTATCGACGAAAGTTTTTAATCCCTCTTCGGCTACAGTTTCTCCAAGGGAACTGCCAACACTGTTACCGGCGATACCACCTCCGATAGCACCGATCACTGCGCCAATCGGTGTACCAACCACTGTGCCAATTGGACCAAAGAAACTACCGATTGTAGCACCCGCCCCTGCACCAGCCCATGCGCCACCACAGCCACCAGCGGCACCAACACCCCAACCACCAGCAATTGACGAAACTGTTTTAATCGTTTTAACTCGTACCTTTTTGATACGTTTTACGTCGTTTAGAAAGTTTTCATACTTTTCGATCTCTTCTTGGATCTCCTTCCTCTTCACTTGGTCGGTTTCAACTTTGAGTTGTAGCTTTAGCTTTTCGATGATATCTTCCATCTCTTTAATTATCTCGTCCGCATGTTCCTTGATGTAATCGTCATTTTTGAAAGCGGAGTAAACGCGGTAGGAATCGAACGCCACGGCAGCCACCGTCACCACGGGACCCACGTACTTCAATGTCTTGTTGACAATCTCAGCTGTTTTGATGACTCCTTTGGGAACCGAGATATGTGGATTGCTCTTAGCTGCTTTACCCAATGGATCGATATTAATATGGGGGCTAGATTTTAGTCCTCTGTCAAAGCGTACAGTAGCACCTGTGAATGATTTGTCAATTTCAACGTTCGTTTCTCTCTGGTAAAATTCTCTACTCTTGCAGTGTTGGCCAAATTTTTATTTATTTTTTGATGAAGTTAACATAATGTGGATTCGAAGGTATTTAAAAGGTATTACAAAATAAAGAATAAAACGAGAAGTTATTTCGTTTGACGATCAAACAATAAAACCATTCAAAGAAAAATCATTTTCATGTTCAAGTATATATATATCATCTCAGGATAAGGTCAAGTTCTACTTATCACATATTATTTCTCAAGTAATGCTCTAAGCCTGATTCAAAGCGTTCTTACCAACAGGTGGTTTCCTGCTTCTTAGTTTAAACAGAGACATATCTTGAATACCGGCAACGGTCTCTCGACTTAAATGCTCATTGGGAATCAATCGAAATCTAGTTTGCATCGCATTACCTACGCGTATCCCATCCACGACTTTCCCTATAGATTTCACCTCCGATTTTTCTTCTGTATTCGGCGCCGACATTTTGATATCTCACACTTGAGCTTTACGTGCACGCTGTAACATAAAATGGAACAATAGTACGAAACTATTATTTTATTATAACTAATTATTTTAACGTTTACATGATACAGAATTTAACGGATGAATTATGACTGAAAACTGACGACTATTTATTAATTTCTTATTTACTATTATATATATTCTCGGCAATTTGTTTGTAACATGGTAACCAATAATTTATTGTATTTCCATGGTAACTTTTTATAAGACTGAATAGATGTCGCTACAGATTCCCATGAGTAAATTCTTCTCGTGAGATCCTCCGCTCAATGAATAAGATACTCCTCGCCAATGTGGCATAGTGTTTCGTCTGTAATTCTGATTTTTTTGGTACAAACGATGTCAATTTAAATGAATTCTTGCCTATGTAATTTTGATTGGTTGTTTCAATATCGCTGCTAGTTAGATCCATTAGTTGATTTTCCTTAGTAATTACAATCACGTCACGTCCAGTGAGCATTTTAGCGATTTTATCGTCGTACGAATTCTTTCGTCAGCGCTGCAATCTAAATCATAACGAAATGTTAACACGGTCTGTTGTCGATCGTTCAAAATATTGATTAACTTCCTGTTCGTACCGTTGTTCTTGTCACTAGATAACATTTTCTACGGTGTTTCGAGATTCTGAAATTAGAAATTGGAATTTCATTGCGTTGCTTAAAAACACGATAACACCATGCTTAGATTTTGCGGATTTTCATGCATTGATAGAATATAATTTACAGTAAATAAATTATTTTATTGTAATATAATATTCATGCATGGAATGCACGATATCGAAAAATATATAAAATATCCAAAGTGTAGTGCTTTCCTGAAAATTTTTTAAATTATACAGACAAAAATATAAATTTATCCGCAGTTCGCTAATTATTAGTAGACAAAGTTTAATTTTGGCAGTGCCTTCTGTTTCATTTTATTTTCGATAATTCATCGAATTTGTCGAATTAAAAAAATAAATGTAAACTTAATCTGTTTTAATGAATAGATTCATCATATAAGGAAAGATATTATTGTTATGTATTTTTGTCCCATAGTCAGTGTTTCAGTCTTTTTGTAAATATCCAGTCCGATATAAGTCTCCAACTAGTGAAGACAGTCAATTAATAAAAAATCATCCGTAATTGTAGATATACATTCTTGAAATATTGTAATTATTTACAATTTGCAAGTTTATCTGAATAAAGTAGAAAGCATCTTGTGAAAACAACGACAACTAGCTTGATCAATAACTTGATCTGTCGATATTGCAGCGTCCTTCTTTATTGTCAGAATGCAGTGCCAAAATGACATTGCGAAAATAACAATTTAATTAAAATAATTCGTAATAATTCCAAATTTCCATTTTTTATTATATATATATTTTAAGTAAAATGAGCCCAAATCTTTATTTTCTTTTTTTAACCATAACACGTGATGTTTAAAAATGTCTTTGTAATTAATTATTCGTAGATATGTGATCGGAAAGTACGTATTTCAATTGAATCATCTATCAGTTGAGTTAATGAATATAACTGATTAGATACAGCTGCGATAATAATTCTTTTTTCTATTTAAATATAATAACAAGCAGCAATATATCCAATTAAATTAATATTATATTATGTATAATATAAGATAATATATATTATAATTTATATTACATGTTATATTATATCAGTATATATTGCAATATAAATTATGTATCTTAACAAACAGCAAATTACAGTACATCCAATATAAAAAATTAGAAGAAAATAATTCATGCATCGCATCAGTGAATACGATTATTTATTTAAAACAGAATACAGATTGTCAGCATACTTATGTATTCAACGTACGTGTGCAGTATTGCGTACGAATTCCAATCGAAAGAAGTATTTTTAATTTCTAGACACGTAACTGCAACTAATCCCTCTACCATTCTAATTCACGTAACAGCAATAAATTCATAAAGCCAACGGATACATTAGCAAAACAATGTTTAAGTAATGACCAATTCTCCATATTTTCAACAATTTATTGATTTACGAGTGTCAGTTATTTGCTGCAAATACTACGATATATATATATATATATATACAAGTTGTACATACACATGTTTATACACACAGTTTGACCATTTCTTAATAATCAACACTTCAAACTTATTGACAATTGAAGCTTATTATTAAATTTTATAACTAGACCACGAATGTAATTTTGTGGAATTATAAATAATGGTTAATGAACTATAAACAATGGTTAATAAGTTAAACAGATGGAACCTAAATACAGAAATTTGTTCTTTCTGTTAAATACTATAATTTCGATATTTTATACATTTTCTTCGAATGTTAAATTTCCCAAAAATGTATGAACATCCACAATCTAGTCACAACAGGTAGGATCTAAAATAATGTACTTACTTGTACTTGTTGTGATGCAGTAATACAATTGCGTTTTAGAAACTAGAATCACAAGAACTTATTATTCACAGAACATGCGATTACAACGTACGATTGACTAACTAAAATGCAGACAAAGATTCAACATCTACTATGACTATTTTTATTTTCCTGTTGGGTGGGGGGGGGTACCCCACCACTGCGCGTAAGTACTATAGTACATTCAAATCAAACGAATGAATACTCGTTCGCTTTCTTCATTCCAACAGGTTCGTGCTCGTTTGGTATAATAACTAAACACCCATTTGGTATAATAAGTAGACAACGGATTTTTGTGTAACTTTTGTATTTAATATGTTTAATTCAATTTATAAATATAATTTAATATGTTGTATTTTAATATAATTTAATTTATAAAACTAGAGTCCCCCGTGAAAATTGTTTTACGCATCAAATATTATAAAAGAAGCATCATACTTCGAGCAAATTTTTTCGCACAATGTGCATCATCAGATTTTTTATAAACGCATAAAATCCCGTAGTTTTTTGTAGTAATGAATGATGGAAGTGCGTAGTCAGGCAAACGAGGATATATTGTGCATTCAGTCTGAATGTGTCATTAGGCGAAATGTGTGTGACGCATCCACACTGCTGGGTAGCTACATACTATATTATAGCATTGACTAACCAGCTAGTCAATGATTACAGATATTCTACGAATTGCGATTATGACAAGCTTCAATAAGTCAATTTATTAAAGATTATTGAAGATATTTATTGTTGGAAATGTACGTAAAAGAACAAACATATCTAGAAAAAGATTTGAAAAGATATACAAGTATCAGAGATAACAGCGAAGATATAAACATAAAAAATCGGGCAAGCTATTGCTGATATCTTAACTTGATATTGAAAATTGAAAATATCCTTTTTCTGTTAAAAGAATACCCTTCGCTAGAATTCTTATAGAATGACAAATTAAATAAAATTCCCTTTCAGTTAGAGTATATGAAAAATAAAACATTGGAAAGAATGATGTAGAAACATTGAGAGGATTTCAATAGGCTGTTACATAAATACTTACAAATGCTATTGAGGAATTTGAACAGAAGATGATCATATTTTTAACAATTTATGAATAAACTGTGGACTTTTTATGCTTTTGGGGGAAATTTAAAAAAAATCTACAGAATTCATTTAATAAGCAAGAATATATAGGATATTAAAAGTAGAATATTCTTTATAATATTTAGTGAATAAGATGAATTTTTATTTGAGTGTCAATTTAGTATTTAGAATAGAATATTCTTATAGAATAATTATCTATAGAATAATTATCTATAGAATAATCTCTATAATTATCTATAGAATAATCTCTTTAGTATTTAGTCAATAGAATTTTCTTTATAATATTGAGTGAATAAGATGAATATTCTTATAGAATAATTATCTATAGAATACTCTTTAATGTTTAGTATTTAGTATTTAGTAGAATATTCTTTATAATATTTAGTGAATAAGATGAATTTTTATTTGAGCGTCAATTCTATATTATTTATAAAGATATAAAAATGTGTAAAGATCTGTCTATTTATTAAACATCTTTTTTTTTTAAGAAATTGCATATAATACTTACGGCAAATATTCTGTTATTATAACACACAATTATGTATTATAACAAATAATTATGTTATTATAATAAAATTATTTGTATATAATTGAATCTATGTATATATATGTACAGATACTGTTACGTAAATATTATTTTATACATATTATTGTTATATATATATATTTTTTTTATCGTAAGTTACATTAGAAAATTTGTTACATTGTAAATTACGTTATAAAATTTGTTACATAAAAAGTACAATGCAAGAAACTAGGGATCATTATCTTCAAATAATTCATCATAACTTTCTTTCTTTCTTTTTTTATTGAATTATTTATTATCGCATTTAATATAAGAAATTTTACACTTATTTTATGCACTTATATATTCTAACGTGACAATGACTTTAAATGACAGTATTCATTAATGGAGAATATTATTGCGACATGCAAGAAACAACCTACTGCAACTACAATTTATTGTTACTATACATAATTTTCTGATTAAATTTTATGTTAATATATTAGAAATTCATAAATATTAGAAATTCACTTTTTGTCCAAAGATGAGAGTAAAGATTGAAATATAAAAATTTGAGAATCATAGCAAGGCAATTGATATTTCAAACCAGGCTACAGAGACAAACAATAAACAATAGTTTCTTTGTTTATCATCCGATTAATTTCCGACTTGTCAATCATAGCAACAGAGTTAATTACGAGGAGGAAATAATCGTTGTCAGTTAGCTTTCTCCACCATTAAAGAGCATCTTCTAATAATAGTGATTTCTTCCTCTGTAACTTATTGCCAGATTGTTGTTTGCCCATAAATAAATAAATAAATATTAAATGATTCGTGGCTAAAAATTTCTCATCTTCATTTCAAATCTTTGAAATTTAATTTCTCAAGAAGAATTACTTGAGCTTTGAACTTTTATTAAAATATTATAAAAATAGTCTAAATTTAAAATTGACTAGAAAAACTAAAAATATTATGTGAATAAACTCTATTCTAATTAATAATCTTAAATAATAATAGATTTTTTAAATATTATTAATAAAATAAAAAAAGATAAAAATAATAATAATAACTAATTCTCTAATTTTATATATATATATAAGTTATATAATAGAATAATATTAATAATTAATGGATAAATAATTCGAAATATGGAAATATAAAAGTATTAGGATTATCTTTTATAATAACAGAAATAATTTGAGAGCTCAAAAGACAAAAAGAAACAAACTTTGATCATTCACAGTTTCCAACATCTCGCGAGATTTTAATAAAATTTGATGGATCTGAATACAATTTAATTTTTAAATTTATTTATTTGAAGTACACGCATTCACATATATACACATTAATAATTTATGTCTCCCCTTTTGCTTTTATTATAGGATCTGTACTTTGTATAGATAGGTTTAGGCACATTTTATTTGGAATAAAATAGAAAAAAAAAAAATGAATTATTTCAACTGATTTATTATTTATTGATAAGTAGAATCATTTCAGAAATAATAGCTTAGAAAAAGTAGCTTCATTTGGTGATAAGATTCAAATGAATCACTTTTAAATAATTTCTTAGTTGAGTTAACTCTTAATTACACAATACATTAATATATTAATGTTGCAAACTTCTCTATGCATTTGAGGGTTAATTATTCAAATGAAATGAGAAATAATTTAACGTAAGAAGTTCTAATAAGAATACCTTCTGTTGACACACAAGAATTAGAGAGTACTTAGGAGATATTTTAGAGAATATACCAGGAATTAAGAAAATTATTTCAATAGTCAAAAAAAAAAAAAAAAATAAAAATAAACGAAACTTTTGTCTTCTTGAAATCTCAAAACCTTGATACATGATAATAAATAATACGTATATATCTCTTTGCTATAATTATAATTTCTGAAAATATAATTTGCATCTTTTATTATGCATTTCTTTCTTTATTATCTTCCTTTGATCTTGAAATCGACTGTTTTCAAGCTTTTCATTTCTTGTATATTAAAATAGCATAAAATCTTCGTTCGCAGATTTTACGAGGTGCAGATGCCACGGACGTTTTTATATTTCATTGTAATAAATTTTATTACCACGCTGCAGATTTCTATGCGTATCTGGAAAATTTTAATGCATATAATATATATAAAATATGCTATATTGTAGTATCTAATAGATGAATCCTTTAGTTAAATTCTACTTTTTTACAATATCTTCCCAGAAGTATAAAAATCAGCACAAAAATCCGCAGTTTATTTATTACACAATATCACTCGTAAAATTGAGTGCAATTTTTGTACGCGGAATGTTGAGAAGTGAAATATCGAAAGAGATTAACAAAATATATTTCTCTGTTGAATTGCTTTCGAATGAATATTTTATATTTTTTTCCTTGTCATGAGCAGAATAATCTTCACTTTCAGGATAAATTTGCCGAATTTATGTGTATACACATTTACTCAATAAATTTTCGATTTCGATTTTCTTAAGTGAGGGAACATTGTTCTTCCTTTTCTGTTAACTAAAATAATTGTCTTAATGTATTTATACAATTAATTCAATAACACTAAATTATAAATAATTTTTATTAATTTTAATCGATTTGATAGATTCTATCAAATAAATCACAGAAATATTCGTATCACTCGAGTTACTCATTTCAAATGATCTGATTATTTTTTGAAGGAGAAATTCTGTTTTTAAATGCGAACATTTTTATACATTTATAAATAGTTAAGAAATAAAATGTGCCGCATATAAAAGATGTACAAAATATTCAATACAGAATATTTATTATAATATTTGCTAGAATAATTTCTATTCAGCGTTCATGTCTTTAATTACATCCGTGAAAAAGTTAGATATGTATAAAAATCCGCTGTCTAATAATAAAAAAGTTATATTACAAAGATATGGATATTAAAGGGTTAATATTATTTTGTAATAAATTTCGAAAATTATTGTTAAGAATCTTGGTATTTGTGTTGTTTGTAATCGAAGAAGCGAATATATCTGTGACTCACTGCATCTATAAAAATAATCACGTGATTACATAATTGGAAAAGAAAATTGTTTTCTTTACATTTATAAATTATATATAGTAGATCTTCATTTATCTGAATTCCATTTATTTGAACGAAATTTTAGTTAATTTTCGACTAACTGAACCTTAGGCTGAACGAATTCACTCATCTAAAATGCTAGTTCCTATTACAGTCAATCACGAAAGTCTGCATAGTACAATAATTAATTTGTTAGTTGAAATTGAACCATTTCTAAAACCAGTTCACTAACGTTTGTTTGAGAGAGTTTATGAACAAGTCGAAATCACCATTTTATAAAAATCTACATGCATATATATTGCAATTATCATATGCACAGTGAAAAGTATAATAATAATCAAAAATAGATTTTGTATATTTTAATGTACCTTTAATAATTTCTACACTGTCATTTTTTCCTAAAAAACATACATGAGAAACATTTTTCTGAAACCTATATAATTTTAATCAGTGAATGAATTAGTTCAAAGTGAAATGTTCAAAACATCTCTGTTTCTTTAAATGATAAATAAAAAAATAAGAACAAAGTATTTCTTTAAGTATTTGAAATTCGCATCTCCCCCTCTCTCATGATAAGTACTATATTTGCTTCAAAAAAATCTGCAAATTATTAATACATTCAAAATTTCATTTGTGATATTAAAAATGAAATGTCTCTCAAGACTTGAACGAGAGTGTGCATAAACTTTCGTGACCGACTAGGTGAATGAAAAATAATATGTCCATACCAAAGAAAATTAGTGAATTAATTATCTGTCCCTCGTAATTACGTTACACGCAAGTGGCCTTATATCCAAACACAGTGTCGGAATTTTTACTACAAGACGGTTGATCCAATTGGTAAAAGCTACCGACAGCTTTCGACGTGCATTTCGCAAAGGTCTCTCGTTTCCCCGTGTTTTCACTTTCCACTTTCTCCTTCTCGATCATCTCGACGTTACCACTACTCACACGCCGTTCTAACCGAGTGTCTCTCGTCGTCTCCTCGTCCTTCTCCAGAAAGCTGCACGTACTCACGCGTCTCTCCCTGGTCAAGGACCTACCGTGGAACAAATTAGGCCTGGCCAGAACGTCCATCCTGTCGAAGTGGTAAGTACTGCCCACGCGATCTCTCTGCAACGACCTGGCCATAACGTCCATTCTGTCGAACTGACAGATGCTCATCCTTCGGTCTCGTATGGGAGGCTTGGCCGCCTCGGTTCTGTCCCACTGGCATACGCTGGCCTTTCGTTCGCGTAGCAACAGTCTCGTGGACTCATTTAACGGCTTGAAGCTCCTCGACGCAGCTTCCTGCTCGCCGGAAGAAGAGGAGTCTGGCGCCGCATTGTTCTCCGACAGTATCAAGAACTGAAGGTCAAACGCGCTTTTCGTACGACGCGGTGTACCTTGACTGCCTGGGAGCAGGGACGCGCTGGAGCCAATGAATACGCTGTTCTGCCTTGGCCGCGTTTGACCGGAAGTGCAGTTGAATTCGTACTCTGTCGGGTAATCTCCGCAGAGTATGTTGCATTTGGAGAACGTCCGCCGGTTCTAGGAACAGTTTTGAAGAATCAGTTTTGGTTCAGATAAATTCTATCATATAGATTCTATAATGATTATATTGTATTAATCATTGCATTAATTTAGCATTGTATTAATCATATATTAATAATTGAAATAAAATAAATACACGAATGAAATTTTAAATACAATAAATAAAACAATGATAGTGAATAGATATAGACATAGTGATATAATCATTAAATATGATGAGAATATTAAATATGATTGTCGTTTGTCATCTTCCATGATAAAAACTTCTATGCTGATTATAAATTTCATTTAATATAGCTGTTACCTGTGTTAGCTGGACCTGATTCTGTTCAATCGTAGTACAACTCTGTCTGTGTTGTTGTTGAAATTTTGGTTGATACGGCTCCAACATTCTGATCTTTCCCCATCGATTAAAGAATAATGCGATCGCCGCAGCCCAAAGCAGAAGGACCAATATAACTATCAAAGCCTCTTCGGCTCTGACTATAACTGCAGTTGGTCCCGGAATACCTGTTCAATATTATCTCAAGTTATAGTGAATTATATTTGATATATATCAAAAATGCTTCGAATTTTACAATTCCAATTTAAAGTGAGATTACAGTTTTTAATATACAGTTTTTAACTGTAATCATACAAGCATCAGATTTATCCTCTGTAACTTGACACATCAGTACACGTGATATTATTTGTGTGATTACTTTCGTTGTATGAAGAGAATATAATGCTAATGCATCTTTCCATCTTCTGTTGCAAAAATTTTCCCTGCTGTGGTAATTGATTTTCCAAGTAACTGGAGAAACCACTAACAAAAGATTAAAGGCCCAAAATAATGGTCCCAATCTGGACCCTTTCTCCAGAAATCACCGCCAGCTCGCATCACAGCTTTTCCAAGATCCTCCTCAACTCCCACTTTGATAGGAAGAGATAAAGAGTTTTAGATACCAGCGAACAAATCAGAGGCAGTCAGTCTGTTTTTAAAGTTAGTCCAAATCTAATTCTGTTCATTTGTTCTATAATAAATTACAAGTTAAAAGAAAAGAAGAAAACTCGAATTTTAAGGTTATTTCAACATAACGACATTATAACGATTATCAATTAATCCAACAAACGTTGGATTAATTGATAATCACATTAACGTGATCATATTTTAAACGTATTATTAGTATTGTTTTTTGCTCACTGATACGAAAGAAGTAACGTTTGCGTGCAAAGTAGCAACATGGAAGTTGTTTCGACGCTTGCGTACAGCCTTAATGATTTGAAATAAATATCAATATTTAATTTGAATGTCATGTTTTATATTAGGTGAAAATTCAGTCATAAATCTAATAAAAATCACTGATATTTCTCAAGGACGATAATTGTGTCTCACTGGATCTGAAATATCGCATGACATGCAACAAAATACTATTTACAACATGTTTCCGGTAACATTCGCGTGTTTTGATGTGAAACGTGTTGCGCAAACAAGTAGAGTCTCTAGCGGTGTTTTCACGTACTACAAAGTTTATAGTGCCGGCCCACGCTTTGATGCTTCTGTCAACAAAAACCTTTATAAATCGGCGTGAAATTTCATGTAAGAGTAGATGATAAAAGTGTACACAGTGAGTAATTCGATGTGGCAATAGCGTCTCCGGTTTCTCGAAGAAATGAAACTGAAATGTAAGTACATACATGCATACGTCGAAACATGCCGTTGGAAAATTAATAAGAATTTTCGAAAAGTTGTAACGATATTCGGTTGATTATGATAAATATCGGATAACAATCATTCGCGCGATAAAATTAATGATAAAATAGTTGCCTTGATACAAAGTATTATTTGCTACTTAAATAAACTAATTTATGCAATTGGTGGCAATCGGAAGATAGCTTAAACCTAACCTAACTTTACAGAACTTTTTACTATCGGAAATCGTTATTGGTAACCAAAAAGGTTTATGATTATTTCGAATTCTTATTTTTGATAAAAACTATTTAAATAAAGTCATGAATTCTTTTACTATAACTGTTTAAATCGTGACGTGATTAATTATGATGTCCAGTCAATTCGTGTTATTAATATTCTGATTATGGAATTTTAGGGATTTTTAGAAACTTGATTAATATTTCCTCGTTGTTATTCCTTCCTCCATTTTGATATTACAA